TCGTAGAAAGAGGTCACGACGCTGATGGCGTAGGCCTCAAGGGCCGTGAAGATGCTGAGAAGATGAGGTTGGCGGGGTAGCTCTTGCGTTTCCAGTAGGTAAGGCCCATGAATACCAGAGCGCTGACGGCGGAGACGAGCACCAGCCAAGGATGTGACTGGATCCAGGTGCGGTAGCTGTCGCTGACGAAGGAAACACAGCTTACGACTGTGGTGAAGAGGATCTGGAGAGATCTAAAGTTGGATTGATTTTAGTATTCAGCATGAAAAACAGCGTATATAAAAGTATCTGTATCTGGATAAGGCCAATGAGAGGAAGCTTTAGGGCACAGGCAGGCGAGAGACCATATGGGATCGGGGTGGAGAAGAAATGATGAGGCTTACAAGATAAAATAGACCTTGCGGATGAATTGCATCCGGATGGGAAGAGTTGTTTCTGCGACAGAGTTTCCAAACTGCACAACGGCACCACCAACGAGGGGTCAGCAGCTAGACAATATCTCAACTGGACATTGGACAGGGAGGTTCTTCAGAACCAAGCGGGATACCACGAACCTTGAAATCATCAGGGACGTTATCATCTTCGTAGCGGGGTTGGCCGTCGAGAAGGCCACCCGTTGAGCCGGATGTAGCCTGGTACGATGGAGGGCTTTGGGTATACGGCCGCGAGTCTAGCGAGTCCCGCTGGGGTGCGGGCGTATATTTTGAATTCGTTGCCATGGTAGGCAAGTCACCAGCAGGAGATATACAGGCTGAGAGAGAGAGAGAGAGTGTGTGTGTGTGTATGTGTGTTCGAGCGATGGAAGGGAATGAACGGATGGAGTTGCAGTGGACAGATCGAAGTAAAATAAAAGCTTGTTGCATCCGCGGCGGGCGAAAAGAGCAACCGATGATGTCAAGGTGGCAGTTAGTCAGCGGTGTGTCACATGATGGACTTCCATTAAGGTTCTAAAGTTGGGTTATGCGGGTGGAAGTCTTGGCAGCTAGGTAAAACAAATCTCCTTATCAAAAATAGTTCAATTTCTCTGTAGATAGAAGTGAATAATATGTAAAGATTTTTCTATAGAATGGCCAAATAATGATTCAAAATGATCAAAAAATAAGTAAAAATGATCTGATTCTCCCAGTTGAGATACATACAAGATGCACAGTCTGAGTGAAATGACCAAGCAAAATCTTCCCAGGTTTCAGCAGCACTGATTGGTAGAGAAATAATGGCTAAATATATCATATCTGATTGGCTGCTCGTATAATTTGCCTAGCTTGTTAAAACGTCAGGATCGTATAACCTTTAGCTACTTGTATTCGAATATTAAAAGAAGAAGACCACCCAAGAAAATTTCATGGTGTTTCCCTTTCAACTTTTCTGTTCTTTTCTTCCCCTTATTTACAAAAAAAAAAAAAAAAAAAGAAAAGAAAAGAAAAGAAAAAAGAGCGTTGCCTGACAAGGGTTGAAAAATAATGACAAATAATAACAAAGGAACTCTATTGTTTAACTGAGAGCAAGCTATCAACTAAAAGAAGAAGAAAGGGGAGAGGGGAAATATAACAGCTAATTGAAAGAACTGAACTCCTTTCTAACCTCCAATCCCAATCCCAATCCCAAGTCCTTCGATAGAAAAGGGAACCTTGGAGCTTGCTGCAAATACGCCAAGCAGAAGTGGTAACACTTAAAAGAATAGAAAAAAATAAAAAAAAAAAAAAGAGAAAGAGAGAGGAGAAGTAATGGAGCCACTGGGGAGATTCGCGCCGGGTCGCTTTAAACACCAAATGCAAGGACGCAAGGGAAATAAATGATATAAAATAAAGTGAGAAAAGGAAGGCTAATTCCGCTATGCATATGCTTGGAGAGAAGAAACAAATAAAATAAATGGGGATGTAATGGAGCCGAGCAGGAGAAAACAGGAGGATAAAAAGGTGATGGATGTAGAGAGTAAAAGAGAGGCAGGGAGGAAGAAGTCAGACCCCTCTCCTCCCCAGTTCTCCTGAACTCCTGGTATGCTGATGACCATGATCATCATCGTCATCGTCGTCGTCGTCGTCATCGTCATCGTCATCGTCATCCATCACAAGCTCATTATCCGAATCACTCCCCCCAAACATATCATCATCATCATCATCCACATCACTATCAACCCAAAAATCCTCATCATCCATCGTGGCCAGCGCATCCGGCCCCGAGCCGGCCCCGAGCCCTTCCTTCTTGCCCATCGCCGTGGATTCATGCGTCGGCATCACAAAGCCCGCTGGAATGTCCTGTTTGCTCTTCTCTACATCCGCCAGCACTGTCCACTTATACGCCTCCGGGTCCTTGCGGAGCATGACGCCCGCGTCAACATTGGCGGGCGAGGAGACCTCTGCGTCGTCGAGGAGGGAGAGGATGGATATTAGGACGGATTCCACGCGCTGAGCTGGGGACCAGCGTTCGGCAGCGGTCTCGCCGGACAGTTCATCTTCGCCGGGAGAATGGAGGATGGAGATGCAGAGGCGGCCGTCTTGGTAGATGTTGGGGTGGAAGAGGGGGCGTGTGAATTTGAAGCCTGTGTTTTGTTTCGGGGATGAGTTTTCTTTAGTGGTTTGTAGAGATAGGAGTTGGGCTTATTCTAGTCCTTATCTGAGGGGTAATTTCTGTTGTGTTTTTTCCCCTAATTGTCTCAGAATAGGATGGGGGCGTTTTTCAGGGTTGCCTTTTTGGTAAGACATGCGACAGGGCCGTTTCAGGGTTATATTTATTATGCTTCAGCATGACATACCTGGCGGTGAATAAGGATAGTTTTGCGGGAAAGTCATGGTGGCTTTGAAGTAGCCACCGTAATAGAGTGAGTCGGGGTTCAGACGATGAGAGCAATATTCCAGTGGAAAATGTCATCGTGGTTGAGCTATAAATTCAAATTGACTAAGTTGTCGACTTTTCTG